CCGAGAACCAAGCAGGTTAGCAGTACAGAAGGCTGACTGATGATTGATATGTGGGGTTTAACATCCCAAAACCACCACATCATTATGAGACACTCCGTAGTGGAGGGCTAAAAAAATTTTGCCCACTTGGGGGTTCTTCAACGTGCACCCAAATTTGAGCACACGGGCCTACAACATTTTCGCCTCCATCGAAAATGCAGCCACCGCAGCCGGGATTCGATCTCTCGATCCCGATCCCTGTGGGTCAGCAGCCGAGTAGCTTTGCCACTAGACCACTGCGACGGGGCAGTTCAGAAGGCGATGCGCACGAGGCCTGATTATCGTGACCTACTCTTGAAGGCAAGTCTCAAACGTCCTCCAATTCTTTAGTGTATCAATGACTTGCAATCGCAGTTTTCTTTGGCTCCTAAGCGACCATGCTGCACCCCCGGCAGCCATAGGCACCGACTTGTGAAGTCGTGCTAGAAGTTATGAACACGGTGTTAGCTTTCTTTTGCTCTAAAATAATACATTTATAGGAACCTAAAAAATAATTAATACCACAGCACAGCACGTTTTGCACACAGAGTTGCATACTATGCAAGTACACCAAGTGATATGCTTGGTTCTGCTTTCAAGTACTTCATCTTCTTGACTAAACCCAAGCATTTAACAAATCCTTGCCATCAGCCAGTGGACATTGAAACAGTCTTCATGAATGTTGTTCTAAGAGTGCAACCCAGTCAAATTCAGAGTGTTGCTGTCTTCTCTTTTCAGCTGACCCTCGCACATACTAATTGTTTCAGAAAGCTCATTCTCTTCAAAAAAGTTTTTTTTTAATATATTTTCAATTTTTAAGCTAGTATTCAATGGTGCTTGCATCTTGCAACCAGGTAAATATAACAGTAGGCTATCATAATATGCTTTACCTTGATGTTCAACACTATGCTATGTATATTTGCTTCCCTGTTATTCTTTAAACGGAGCTGCAAGTTGAAAAATGCAAGTTTTTTCTTTTTTTTTTTTCAAAACATACATATATATTTTTCATTTGCTTTCACAAGTTTGGTTTTTCCAATTTCATAATAAAAAAAAACCTGAGGACTATAATTAAACTCAAAGTAGGTTAAAATTCCTTGCCATGGTGGTCTAGTGGCTAAGGTACTCGGCTGCTGACCCGCAGGTCGCGGGATCAAATCCCAGCTGTGGCGGCTGCATTTCCGATGGAGGTGGAAATGTTGTAGGCCCGTGTACTCAGATTTGGGTGCACGTTAAAGAATCCCAGGTGGTCAAAATTTCCGGAGCCCTCCACTACGGCGTCTCTCATAATCAAATGGTGGTTTTGGGACATTAAACCCCACAAATCAATCAATCAAAGTAGGTTAAAATAACTTTTAAAGAGCACAAGGTGGCTACTAAAAACTAAACAGAGCTCATTGTCTAGAGTCCCCTGAAAATTATCCCCTTGCTGCTTGTCATTGCCTTTCGCATTAAAAGTTCACTAAAGGCACCTGCTCAAAAAAACAAAGATTGCCAAGCTCTCATAATGAAAGAAATCATTTTAACAAACATATCTTTGCCACATAGATGAGCTTTGATTTGTAGCTTTAAGACAAGTTTTTCTCAAAATCTTTTTTTGGCCAACTTCTGGACATCATGTTTTTGATACTTCTGATAGCCAGATCAAGTTGAAATATTGCCCAGATATTACTACGTAAAGGGCGGAAATATCTCTTTTAAAACTTGATATCACCTGCCTAATTATTACCAGACCAAAGTGAGCAATTAGTATGGGCAGATAACTCTAAAACATTCTCATATTACAATTTGCCTTGTCCATTAAAATGTCTTGAGGCCGTTTCACATTACCCAAAAAGTAGCGATTTTCAGTCTGCGAATTCGCTCGCAGCAAAAAAAAAAAAAAAAAAAAGGGGGGGGGGGGGGCATTTAGTTTTTGCCGCAGCGGTCTGCGGTGAGCTACCAATACGTTGAAAATGACTCGCTCTGATCACAGCAGCAGAGCAATTTCTGGTCGATACTGGTCGAAATGGGGCAGGGCCAGGCAAGCTGTCGAAATTGCATCGACGTGTTTGTTTTAGTAAAGGCAGCTGTTGCGCATTTTAAAATGGAGTTAGATTGGACAGTGTTTTTAAATGACGAAACACTAGTGCACTTTCTAGCTCTTCATTGAAACTTAATAATATCATAACGCACAGTGTTACATTATATTTGAAAAATTTTACAGTGTTTGCCACAAAGAACAGTGGCAACAAACGTTGCTTGCCGCCCCAGTCGCAGAGCGAAAATCGCGTAGTGTTCGTGGTCCATGTGAAATGAAACCGCCCTTAGTGGCGGTTGCGAACAGAGCAATTGGACTGAACGAAACGATTTTTTTTGCTGCGATCGCGGCATGTGAAACAGCCTTTATACACACTTTCTTGATAGTTATTTGCATTCTACAGATAATGAGGAGCAATATGAGACATTGATGGCTCAGAACTACAAAAGTTTAATGGCATAAAAAGTTTGTCCAAAATGAAAACTCCGCAACTTATCACAAAACTAATTACATATTTGAAATTGGCATAAAAGCCTACATATACATAAAAAATTGCACTGCCCTGGCATACAAATTCACAAAACTTCTTTTTTAAATTGCATCTCCCTTGTGCACTGCATTTGTATCATGACATGTCCTTATGATATCTATTTACTAATAATGTTAATATGTAGGGTTTAACGTCTCAAAACTACCATATGATTATGAGAGAGGCCGTAGTGGAGGGCTTCGGAGATTTCGACCACCTGGGGTTCTTTAACGTGCACCCAAATTTGAGCACACGAGTCTACAGCATTTTCACTTCCCCCAAAAATGCAGCCGCCACAGCCGGGATTCGATCCCCCGACCTGCAGGTTAGCAGCGCAGTGCCTTAGCCACTAGACCACTGCAGCGGGTTATCTATTTACTGACACCCCCCCACACACACACACCTTCATGTAATGCCTTGTATAAGTACTTTAAAGGTTTAAGAAATTATTAAGTACATGTGGACTATCACTTGTGCGAATATTCCTCCCTTCCCGGTTGCTTTTGCTGGCTTGGTGCGGCATTCCAGTTTTTCTTACTGGTTGAGTTAGGGTGTGTCTTACGACATGTTTTTTGCAGCTTAGTACTATGCATGTAAACCACGTGCATCCTCAGACAATGCCACACAACTTATCAAAGTGGAAACAACGTTCTGTACAACGCTATGAACCTCGGTCAACTATGACTCGCAGGGGACCCGAATCGAATCAGTCATCTATGGCCCAGCAAATATTACAGCGTCACCATGTATTGTCAACGAAAGACTTTTCATCGGTTCACTTTGTGTGGTGTCAGCTGTACTGTTGAGGGTAATCACGTGCTTTTATAGTTATTAAATGAGCCTCGACGATGAAGCGTGTCAAGGTATTGTACTGAATGGGCAACCAAGATTTTGAACACACACACAGTTGAAGGTTTTCAGAAAACGTTTCACAACCCCTATAAATCATACTGGCATGGTTGTTGCCATCGTGATTTCATGTCTTTCAATGCTTATCCATGAAGGTATTACCACAGTGCACCATGTCAGTGGTGCCTTCAGATAATCTGTGTGCTTCGCCACCATAGCACCTTGAAATTGCAGCACAGCTAACTTTCGAAACCTGCCACGGCTTCAAACAGATGTACTTAAGGAAAGCTAGTTCGAGCCTACGAATCGATTAAAGTGGCAGTGGTGCCAGCTGCAATGGCATTTTGCATCTGCAATTTCAGCAGAAAGTCAGAAAAAAAGTGGACACGGAACAATTTCAGCATCCAAAAGTTCCGATGCTCTTGTACATTGACTATGTGGAGCTTGTGGTAGTGCCGTGAAAATGTACAAATACTTGAGCGAGTTCAAAAACTCAGCGGTTGACTATGGCAAGCAACTTGAACTGGTAAGTGCTTGCGACTTAGTAATCAATTGCAAGCTGTATTTTTTTACTTATCATGACTTCTGTAGCGGAGACACTGCAGCATAAGCACTGATATTATTCTTTCACATGTTCTAATTACTCATTAGAAGACACAATATGGCATTATACCCACTTTATATTTCACACTACCACTACCATAGTAGTACTGTCTAATCCCTATTTCACACAAATACTAATAAATAGAACGCACTCATTAGCTTAGAGCCCGATAAACAGGTTCAGTACAGCATCTCCTTATAGAAACAAAGGCTAGTGGAAGCTATGGGTGATATTGGAGAGGCTGGACGCTCCCAGCTTGAGTCATACTGAGCGCAACTATACACGGCCCGTTTCCAAAACCTTCAATATAGGTACAATGAGCAAGGATAATTCTTTCTATGTCTACAGCAAAATAATTATGGCCCAAATTTCATGGAACGCGAGTAGCTTCTAATGAAAGGCTGGTGTACATGTGGTCAGTCCATGCATCTGCTGCACACTGATTGGGGCAAATGAGCAACTCTTGCAGCAAATTATCACCTCAACACCACTGTGAGTTTTTTTTTTTTTTTTTTGCTGTATAGATAAGCTACTAGTAGTAAGCTACACGATTACCCTGATCTGTGCTTTAAGCTTATTTTGATTGCTTTACTGTCAACGAATTCTTTCTATAGCGTCCAGACAACCGTCAGCAGTAGATCGCGACAACATGAAGTCTAGTCCACTAGTGTTACAAAACTTCGATTGATGATAGATGTATGTGGTTTAATGTCCCGAAACCACTATTTGATTTTGAGAGACACCATAGTGGAGGGCTCCGGAAATTTCGACCGACCGGAGTTCTTTAATGTGCACCCAAATCTGAACACGCGAGCCTACAGCATTTTCACCTCCGTCAAAAATGCAACTGCCACAGCCGGAATTTGATACCACGACTGGCGGGTCAGCAGCCGAGTACCTTAGCCACTAGACCACCGTGGTGGGGCGCTACAAGGCTTCAAAAGGAAGGCAGGCAGGCTGTCAAATAGCACAAATCTTACCCCTCCGCACATGCCAGTCTGGCCCGATGTCTTTCTGCTCCCTCTTTCCCATGGTTCCAAGTGCTGTACCTAAGTACAAGTTTCAGTGAACAAAATAAACGACGCTTGTACGGTTCAAATTGCAAACATAGACAATTACAATTGCTATCAAAGCTGAAGGCTTATCTACGATCCAGGGGCAGATTCAGCCACTCATCTTAAGGGGAAGCGGTTGCTTAAAAGAACACCAGAGAGAGAGAGGGGGGGGCTTGGTCATTATGTTTTTATTTTACTAGTACAAGAACATAGCATAAATACTGTTAACGTGTGCTCAAAGGGACCCCCACTCATTTGTTCTAATTGGTGATAGCAGGTGGACGGCAAGCACTGAATAGAGGGGGAGGGGGTGCTGACAGGCTTTCGGAAGGGGGGGGGGGCTCTGGATCCGCCACTGCTATGACCACACTTGCTTATGATCACGCATAAATAAATGTGGCCACACTACGTGATTCAGATTATCGTGAACGAAATTAGTTAAACATTTTACAGATCAAACAAAAGAAAAGATACATAACTTACATTGTAATAAATTTCATCCACAACTTCATGGTACGTCTTCAACTTGTAAAGGTTCACTTTGAAGTACGGCGACGACAGTATGTTCGTGAGTATCAAATTTGTTCAGGTTCATGGTTTTGTCGTTGCCCCATAATGGAAGGACATTATTTTTTTTCTCCGCAGGTCCACCGGGAGCCATGCTAGCTCAGCCTGCGAAACGCATTATATAGAATAATTAACCAAATATCGCACATAAGTATTCGTCACGAAACAGTTTTTCATCACTGATCACTTAGGGCTAGCAAAAAAAAAAAAAAGACAGAGAAAAGGAAACCACGAAGCTACATCGCACACTCATTCCTGCTACACTAAAGTTTATACGGGTAATACGAACAGATACGAAATGAAGCACAGGTTAATTACGGGCAACAACGTTCATTTAGGCCACAGAGATCATTAAATTTACGTTGGTCGAATACTTCGGGTTGCCACAGAACACCTACCAGTAGGGGTTGCTTTATAAAAATGAAGAGGATGTTGATACATGCCGCACAGTGTTGCTTTTTCCGCAAATTCTTCTGATACTTTTTGGCCACAGTTTTACACAATAAGTGTTTTTATCTCTTTTTTTCTCTACCAACTAAGGTGTGTGATAAAAGAAATTAAAAAGTCACGGCCGTTTTTTTATTTATGACATACACAGTGGCGTGTCTAAAAAAAGTAGCGACTGTGCCGTATTTTTGACTCCTGAAAGGCCGCGTCTGCTGCCCCCGGGTGGCACGAGCGTTTTGAGGCGCAAACTCCTATGGAAACTGAATCTGGTGCTTGGTATACCTAAAAGCATAGCCTTTGAGATTTGTGAGTAAAAAAAAAAAGTCAGCGGAGGAGTGAGTTTTGACCGACCACGGTGATTTAGACAAAATGCACTCACATTTGGTTCATATAATTTATAGTCTGCATATATAACTTTAAATTTCCGGAGCCCTCCACTACGGCGTCTCTCATAATCATTGGCGCAATTATGTAAAAGTTCCAAATCCGGACAAAGGCGGTCTCTTCCATTGAGTCGCACGCGATTGGCCCATACAAGCTGTGACGAATGCTGTGACGTTATGAGTGACGTGGATTGGGGTGTCACGTGACTCTTTTTTTTCGGTTTTCGGAGAAAGGCGATGGAACGGTCGGAGAGACTGTCCGAAAGCAACCGGATGGATTGAAATGGCTGCAAGGTGGCCTGGATTGGATTGAAATGGAAAAAAATGCGCGACTTTTCGGCACCGGGGCACTTAGACAACATGGCGTTTCCCACTGACACGGTACTTCGTCTTGCCTGTGCGGTAGCTTTAACCGAGCAGAGGCGACGACGCGAGGTAAAAGATGCATTTGAAGAGTTCAGCGAAGAAGAGTTCCGGCAATGTTTTCGTCTGTCCAAACGAACAGTGCGTAGCTTGTGCGACGAACTTGACCCTATCATCGGATGCCAGCGAGCCAGTGGCCTTTCCACAGAGAGAAAGGTGTTGTGCGCGCTGCGATTTTTCGCCACCGGTAGCTTCCAGAAGAGCATTGGTCGCGAGGAACACATCGGTATGTCTCAGCCGGCGGTGAGCAACACCATCCACGAGGTGACGGAGGCGATCATTACCGTGGCTGCTAGAAAAAGGGTGGCGGACTTCCTACTGACAACAGCTGCTAAGGATGAGGCAAAGGTGGAGTTTGTGCTACGCGGTTGCATCCCAGGGGTGCTGGCGTGTGCCGATGGCACGTTGGTCACCATTCGCAAGCCAGAGGGATTCAGACTGGCCAACACGGCGAGCTTCATGTCCAGAAGGGGCTATTATGTCCTGAACGTCATGATCGTAAGTACTGTTAGGATCGTTTATTACTCGCCCTTCGGAGCAATTGTTCAGTTGTGACGCCAAAGCTGGAAAAAGTAATAATGCAACGAATGAAAAAGAACCTGCAGGGAATTGGGTGCGAGCTAGATGGTGGCTCGCAAGGCCTCGGTAATAATAAGTGGCAAGTGCTTTGTGCGTGAGCCAGTTGCCGTTTTTGCACTGGGGATGCATACGCAATCGAATTGTGCATTTTAGAGGTAATCGGTAATATGGGCAGCAGACGTAGCAGAAGTATATACACGACAGGGAAGTATTTCCAACACGAAAGTGCTTACAATCACAATTGGACGAGCTGGCTTTGGTATTTACGAGTGTTCTTTCCCAAGAGCAACGCGTAGCTTTTCACTTATCGATCATTCAGTGGAAGTCGTAGCCATGTGTACAGCAGAGGTGGGGTCGTTGCCCCCACACTCCCCCCTCCTCAGTGTGCTACACCCTGTGTTTCCTTCTAAGTGAAGCTCCTTGTACCAATGACTGTACTAGTACGCATTGTTTTCTGCATATGTGTAGAAAAAAGGGATTTATTCTGAGTATAAATGCAGTACTATTTTATATCGCTCCTCATCGCAGATGTGCAAAGCGTGGCTGCGCATAATTGTCATAGACCCATGATTCCCTGATTCGTGCCACGACTCCTGGGTGTGGGAACACAACCCACTGCGCGCATACCTAGCTGCACATCTGCAGCCTGGCGAATATCTGCCTGGTAAGTATTAATGTGTACTATCTGGGCAGAGCACTCAGCTTTTATGCTTACATTGCAGGAGACGCAGGCTATCCCCTCAAGCCATGGCTCCTAATTCCAGTCCTTGGCAGTCAACCGTGCAACACTTCCGAAGGCCGATACAACAAGGAGCACGCATCCATGCACAATGTTGTGTAAAGGTGTATCGCCGTGTTGAAAAGCAAGTTCCGCTGCTTGCAGCACTTTCGAACGATGCTCTACAACCCCGATCGGGCAGCGCAAATCATCTATGCTTGCTTTGCTCTCCACAACATTGCGTTGCATGCAGGCGACTGGACCTTGGACGAGTATGTCGTGGACATGCCACCAGTTGAGGATGACGATGGAGAGCCAAGGGGGAGCCATATGCTCACACCACGCAACGTGCTGCTCAGAGACGGCAGCAGCGCTGTCTTGGACCTTTTTTGAAGTACACAGGATCGGTGAGTTTTCATGTTTTCATATCCCACACATAATTTATTTACACTGATTTTAGTGCATCTAGACATGAAAGGGCTGTGTTTGCCACATTTGAATACACAAAGTACTTACTTGTGCTTCAATATGAAGCAAGGTGGCAATGTCAAAATGCTGCATTTTCTTTAAATGGCACATGAAATATGCAACAGAAACACCCTTTTCCATATTAGCGATCACAGTCACAACAGACTAGATTGGAGCAAGCATATATGAGCGGCAGTCTGTGCTGAATGTTGCTATCACAAAATTGTGCGAACAATGGAGCAACGTCTCAAAATTCTTTTCACCAGAACGCATAAAAATCGAGATTCTATTAGTAACATGTTGTATGAACACATGATACATAAGTCCATATCTTGTCATAGTGACTGACTACAAGCATTCAATTGTGCACGCTAGGCTTGACAAGCAATTGTGCTTGTCAAGTTGTGTTGTTTTTTTGCTCATTGTCCTAAACATTGTGTGAATGTTAAAATAACATTTATTTTGAATTCACGACTGCAGTCATGCTGCAATGCTAAAAAACATGCAAATCAAGATGGCAAACAACAGGCGAGTTGTTTTGATAACATACAGCATGAATAATTCGCTCAGTTATCTCGCGGCTCCCAAACCATACCACGTTCGAAATTTATTCCCGCAAAGAGTCGTTTACAACGAAAACTAGATGAAATCAATCGCTGGCGTGTTGCTGTGATGACCATTTTCCTTTGTGAAACTGTGCAAGATGACCACTTACTAGCTTAGCGCTCCCAAACAAGATTCGGAATGTAGTTGTTGCATCTTAGCCTCATTGTGCTGAAATGAAAATATCACAGTGAACTGCAAAACAGTGTGATGCAAAAAGATATCACATTACTACACTATGTGGTAATGCTGAATAAAAATCACAGTGAGCTAGAAAACACAGTGGGACAATACAAATATCAAAGAAACATTAACAGAAAATGTCAACTATACACTCGTGGTCTCCGTGTGAATGACAAGACACCTTTGAAATGTGGGTAAAAAACACTGCCACTAGAACAGCTCGAACATACATTAAGAAATGCATATATCGAACATAAAAAATGCTGCACTCCTTATACAAAGTAAATGCTAACCTAAATCTAGTAATATGTACTAAATGCAAACAAAAAACGAATAAAATAGAACATGAACAGCAACACGTAAACATATAAAAAACACTAAACCAATTATGAATGATAAAAAGTTGAAAACATGGCAAAAAACAAACTAAACTATGTGTATGTCTCCCGAAGCGTATAAAATTGAACATGAACAGCAGCACCTAAACACATTGAAACCGACAAATCTATAATGAATGATGACAAGAAAAAACATTGAACACATAACGAAAAATTAAACTAAACTACGTATCCCTTTCTCGCAGAAAGCCCTCAGCCATGGCCAGTGCCCTCCTGCACCGCTGCCGCCTTCTCCTGTGCCGCTGCCACACGCCGTGCTGCAGAAGCGATGCGGGTGGTTGATTTTTCATCTCCCACAGCACCTGCGATGAATCGTCATGGTGTAAATGTTTAAGTGAGCTGCCGGTAAACCCTTAACCATCTCGTGGCTGGAAGCTGCTCCTGCTGCCAAGATTTGCAACGGACACAACAACTTCCCCTCAGTTGAAGATCAACTGGCCTGATGGCATCCTTTGAAAGTGGGAAGCTTTGTGTACAAGCTATGCCCTCCTCGTGCGGACCTACAAACATTTGTTGAAACTGCTCTTTATTAATGTCCTCAAATGCATCTCTCACCATGAAAGAGCCCCAGGGCTAACCAACCTTTTGCCCGGCAGTTTATCATTGCAGATACCCGATACCATGCCCTCAATACAATGCATGGTTCTTGTTTACAACCCAAGTTGGTTTCAGTCATCATCATAGAACATGGAGAATGCTTATGCCCCTTATGTAAAATGTAAACAAAGGGTCTACTCACCTTGAGCACCTTGTCGCCCTGCTCAAGGTTCCAGTCCTGCACTCAATAAAGCACTAAGTTCTCAGATGCTTGCGTGTTACTGTGTCACGGCCATCTACAGCCGCTTCAGTGGCCTCCACATCCATTTCCACTGCAGCAGTGGGAAGATTCGCCTGCTGGAAA